CTGACGAACTATGGGAACTGGGAAAAGAAAACCTGCTGCAAGCTGCAAAAGAAACTATTCAAAAGCGCCAAAAATCACAGAATAGCTGGATTTCAGAAAAAAACGAGGAAAGAAATCGAAAAAAGAAGATTGGTAAAAGGCAATTCAGGCACCACTGACCAATATAAAACACAGAATACAGTCGTACAAAGACTCAAGAGGAGAGATAAGAATATGCAAATTGAAAAGGTCTGCCAAAGAATAGAAGAAAATTCCATAATCAACTCAACGAGAGACCTCAACCAAGGAGTTAGAGATCTAACAAAGAAATTTAGACCAAACGTTGACGCAATTAAAGATGATAACGGTGAAACATTATGTAATGGTAACGATGTCAAAAGAAGATGGAATATCTTACTGCGAGAATTTGTACAAAATCAATGACAAAGTAATTAGAACTAATCTCAACTTGGATATGGCTGAGGAGGAACCTCCTCCACTAAAAAGTGAAATCAACAAAGCCATAAAAAAACTGAGGAACAATAAAAGCACAGGATTTGATGAAGTAGCGGCCGAACTCGCGAAAAAAGGTGAAGAAAATGTTATTGACTTCTTTCACATACTATGCAACAACATATGGAAGGAAAAGAAATGGCCCGAAGACTGAGTGACTTCCATATTTATACCCATACCAAAAAAGGAGATGTATTAGAATGCAGCAACAACCGAACAGTGTCATTAATCAGTCACTGCAGTAAAATTTTACTAAAAGTGATTGCTGGCCGTATAAAAGCAAAGTTAGATTATGAAATTTTCAGATGAGCAGTGTGGCTTCCGAGCCAGTAAAGGCACCAGAGATCAAATCCTCAACCTAAAACTGATGATGGAAAAGCATAGAGAGTGGCATCACAATTTATACATGTGTTTCATTGATTATCGTAAGGCGTTTGACACGGTTGATCATGAAACGCTGTGGAATACAATGCCAAAAAAGGGATTCCCAGGACATATAATCCAGCTCATAAAGGAATATACGACAATCAAAGAGCCACTGTAAGAACTAATTATGATTTAGCGAACTTTTTAAACATTGGTCAAGGTGTCCGTCAAGGATGCATACTATCTCTTTAACATCTATTCCGAGCAAATCATGAGGGATGCCTTAGAAGACTTTGAAGGGACAGTAAAAATAGGTGGATAAACTGTTACCAATCTTCGGTATGCAGATGATATTGTGCTCATTGCTGGATCCATGCAAGAACTGGAAATGCTTGTAAAGAAAGTCAAACTTACAAGTGAACAAACTGGACTCGTGCTTAATACTCAAAAGACAAAAGTTATGAAAATGATTGGCGATCCGGAAAATTTTGATTTGCAAGATCTTATTGTAAATGGAGAGATCATAGCAACAGTTGACAATTTTATATACCTTGGTGCAGAAATCACAAACGACTGCAATGACAGCAAAGAGATAAAAAGGAGACTTGCGATTGCCAGAAAAACAGTGATTAGTCTCTCAAATATTTGGAAGGATAGAGCCATTACGATGTGTACGAAACTTAGAATTTTGAAGACTCTTGTATTCCCTGTTGCAACATACGGGTGTGAATGCTGGGTGGTGAAACAATCGGATGAGAACCGACTAAAGTCATTTGAAGTATGGTGCTACAGAAGGATCCTGAGAATTAGTTGGAAAGAACGGAAAACAAATGAATGGGTCTTGGATAAGATTGGAAAAATGACTCTTTTGAACAGCATCAATAAGCGGAAACTGTCCTTTATGGGGCATGTAGCCAGAAGCACAGGGCTGGGAAAGGATATCCTGACAGGCATGGTCAATGGAACTAGAAGGAGAGGGAGACCGCGACGGAGGCTGCAAGATCCTAGCAGGCATAGTTGCATTGGATCAACGTTGAAAACAGGTTGATACGTTGAATTGCCGTTGATCTACCTACGTCAAATCAACGTTGATCCAGCCACGTCGAAACACCGTCATAATGTGACGTTGACTCATGTTGTATTTTGGTCAATGACACAACCTTGCAGTTATGAATTCTAATTTAAAATATTAATTATTGAAAACGTGATACTCTGTACTGTAACTAAATTTATCAAAATAATAACAAAATGGTTTTAAAGTAAAATTGACAGTTGTTTTGTGTCTTTAGTTAACTAGTGAATTTTCTTAACTTGTTATTCAGAAAAACATTCCAATAAACTGAATTGCTTGCAAGGTGAGCTAACACTAGGATGAACAAGTTGCTGTAAATGTAATGGAGTTAACAGTTCTTGGTAACCTGTTATAGATAGACAGGTTAAGGTGACTGTGACTTTGTTATATATATTTTTATGTCTCCTCCATCCCAGTGCATCACAAACTTGCATATTCCCGTTCATAGCAAAAGAGAATGCAACAAAGACTATCGGGTGTTCGTGATTTGGCCAAACAAGGCCGCTTTTATTAAATAAACTCACTATCCTAATAATTTTAACAATAATAACAATGTGGCAAATTGTTGCCTGCATTAAATGTTATGGCCTTAGGGATAAAAATTAAATATGAAATATTAACTAAGACTCATCATCCTAAAAATAATGATGAGACGAGTCAGCAAAAGTTATCATTTTCAAGCAATTTTGCACAAATTTCGTTTGTGGGGTTGCAAAGAGGCCATAACCTTGACTGGTGCCCAAGCGCACTGGGCAAGGAAGACCCCACAGAGGAAATCGACGCACAGGGCTGGAACATAAACACTCAAACTGATGTTGAGATCGGGAGTATATATATATGCATACTTACCACTTACCGTATACACATACTTACCACTTAATCCGACGAAGCGGAGCAGAATAGAACAGGCACGAAACATGCCGCTCACTCCGACGAGGCGGAGCAGAATATAAAGACACAAAACGTGTTATCTTCTTATATATATAAATATAAATATATATATATATATATATATATATATATATATATATATATATATATATATATATATATAAGAAAAGAACTATATATATTAATCTAAATTTTGGGAATTCTAACATTAAAAGGCTATACATATATACCCTACATATATTTAGCCATCAAACATGCCCTACTGCTAAACACATCCAGGCTAATGTCCCGCTGGTTGGGGTTGATATAACATTGTTTTCTGACGTTGATACAACGTTGTTATCTGAGGTTGACACAACTTTCAAATCCAACGTTTACTCAAAGTTATAATAAAAAAAATAATAAAACTAAATCATTATAGTAGAATGAAACTTAAGGGGTGAAACGGCATTGGGAAGAGACTTTGCTGTATTGGCGGAGGTCTGCGCACTCGGAGTGCTTTTCTAGTTCGCATATACTTCAGCTGCTTTCAATTCTAGCATGAGGCTGCAAAATGCCCAGATTTGGTTATTGATAAATATCTATATCAGGTACACATTGAATTGTAGATAAACTGAAATGTGCCTTTCTGTCGTTCTAAAGGTCTGAAATGCAAATATAAAAAAGCTATATAATAAAGGCAAAATGTGGTTTTGAGGGCTTTTTATACTAATGGATGATATCTAACACAGCATGTACAGTAAAGGCATTTTACCTACACGCATTGTTGTTTGAATTAAGCGTCGTTTTGATAATTGTTCTCTTGCATGTTGTCCCCACATAAAGCGTTTTATGTAAATAATGAACGACCATGATGACGTTGCTTCTAATGGAAATTAAAGTTCCCAATGTGGTGAACAAAAAGGTTATTTTGAATGGATGTCACGTTTGAAATAAGTAATTATTTCCTAAATCTACTAGATCTAATAAAACTCTCTGTTACCTATAGTGTTTTGAATAAAACCATCTTTAGATTACCTTCAGAAAGAAGACGGCTCGTTTCTAAAGATATAGGGTTCGTCAAATATTTTCCGAGTTGATTGAAGTGAGAATATAAAGATATACTTATAAGACATATATTGGAAAACGTTTGCGCTCAGATGAGTCATGGACGTAAACATATCAAATTGTCTGTTTTCTATAAGAGCAGATCTGGATACAGCAGTAACATACCGCGCGTATCTGAGACACATATTATCTCTGTTCTGACAACTATTTTCGCACAACATACATACCAACAAGTCTTTAAGTCTTTTAATTCTTTGCCAGCCAGATCAGACACTGTAAAAGTTATTTGCTGTTTGCAGGGTTTATAATAAAAAACAAGCGATCGCAGATGTTACTTTTAGTAACAAATGTAAATATAGAGGGACGCGCGCGGGTGACGAAAGTGTTACACCACCTGTGTGCATAGGGGGCTTTCTGACATTCGTAAAAAAGTGATTTACGGTTAATTGCATGCTGGCGTATTGAACTTTCAACAATGTGCATTATAAATAGTGAAACCCCCTCCTTGCTGTCAAGTTGCTACCATGAAGATACTGGAGTTCACAAATGAACAAAGAAAAGAAGTTGTTTGTCTGAGAAAGGAGTGAGTGGATATCCCCCAGATAGCCGCAAGATATCGTGTTTGATCAGACTGTATGCGGCGTTTACAGAAAGATGGGGCTCGCTGGTGATGCCCATAAGTCACCACGTAGTGGCAGGAGAAGACTAGTGCCAGAGATGACATGCGTGATTTTATGCTGTCAAGACTCATGGAATTTGAACCGTGCAGCGACTTAGCGCCTCATTTCTGCTGTTCTTTTTTGAGATATGGTTACAGTAAAATGCTACTACTGGAGAGTATACCCCTCGTCCGCAGCTTAAATTGGAGCAGATTTGAGGCATAGTTGCAGTGATTGCAGTATATATCTACTGCTTTTTCGTGTGGAGCGCTGTCAATTTATCATGCGAAATAAAGAAAAAAAACCGCATTGAGATTGATGCATAATTGAATACCCATGTTGAAAAAGTGGCACAGCACAGCACAGCATTCGTAAAGACTACATGAAGCAGCTATCATATAACGAGAGCACTAAATATAAAACAAAAACAGGTTGATAAAGGCTGGATCAGAAGGTGAAGGTTGCTGATTGTGTGTTGTAATGTACTTGTACTACATCAGTTGATCTTGGCCATGTCAGTGCGGATATTTTTACTCGCTGTTATGACTTGCTTCTTATGCTCTGCAGTATATCTGTTTCCACGTCTTATGAGAATTCATACACTGCCTTCTCATCGATTGCCACCACCTCCACTTCAAAGTGACTTTGAAGGTAAGGCGATTCAATTTTGTCGGCTCGTGCATAATTCATTTTTAAATTAAAGTGTCAGTCTTATTTTGACTGTTATCATATCAAACGTGATTGAATCTAATCACATTTGATATTCCATTGATGACACTAGTAAATGCCAAACCTATCTGAAGACGTATGTATTTTGTAGCGATGAAAGAACGTTGATTCATTTACTTTCGTCAAAACTCTACCCAGTTTTACTTATGTAGCAGTACACTTTACTGCTACACTGTTGTATAAATGTGTCGTATTTATCCAAAGCTAAACCCAGTTTTATTATTAAAGTATCTCACCCTTTTGATATTCCATTGATAACACAAGTGAATGTCAAACCAATCTGAAGTCTTCAGAAAACAAATGTATTTTGTAGCGTTGGAAAATCGTTAATTTCGTTTACTTTTTTGTTAAAACTCCACCCGATCTTATTTATGTAGCAGTGCACCTTATAAATGTGTCGTGCGCTGTGTTGTACATAAGTCACAAGTGTAAAAAAACATTGGTGTTTCGTCTGTAATGATTACAAAAATATCGCCCAAAGAGCAAAAATTCTGTAGTTTGATTGATTAAATGGATTCTGGTATTCATGTTGTGTACCTTTGGAGTATACATAGTTACCTGTCAGTTTCAAGCGAAAGATATAAGCCGTATGATATTTATGCCTCGTTTTTGTACCAACCTGATGGCGTAATTTACGTCTGTTGAATGTCAAATCGAGACTCCATTCTGGATGAGAATATGTCGTTTGGAGCCAGCTTGAAATGTGAATTAATATTACATTAACAGAGAAGTATGTTTCTCTTCACTGAATGAAAACTTTGTCACACTATGTTTGTTTAAGCAATACGGTTAGTTACCCTTTGGGTATATGGTAACACAAACCGTATTGCTTGTAATACAATCCCGAACAGAAATATAAACAACCAAAAACGTAAGAAGGAGAAAAAAGAAGACACTAAGAAAAAATATCTCAGATGATTTGCTAGAGTATATAAGATAACCCGTAACTAGCTTGTGCCTACTGTATACATTGGCGGATTTAGAGCGGGTTTTAGGGGGAGCCTGACACCGTCTCTCCCTTCTACATGTATATCTGGTCCCATCTTAAAATTAGAAGTTTAACTAGCTAAATCATAGTTCTAAACCCTACCTAATGGCACCGTTCGCCCTCTAAAATACCAAAAAATTTCAGGTCCCGAACCCCACACCAAGTGGGGTGGGGGGGGGTCGACTTTGCATCCGCGGCCCCACCCCTTTAAACAATCCTTGATCAGTTCGTGTGTATAGTCGAAGTATAAATACAACTTAGTGATATACATTTCTTTATTTTTCAACTATTTATTTATTTAATTTTTTCAATTATTTATTTATTTAAACATAATTAATACAAACCGTGAAGTCGGAGTATAAATAAAATTTTGATATGTGACTTGAAGTATTACGTAACGCACAATTATTTATTTATTTATCTATTTATTTATTTTTTCCTTTCAGGGATAAATAGGAACATTCAAGATTCACTGTTGCAGTCTGCCTACAACGTACCTCCCATAAAATGCCTACCAAAGGGACAATGCCAGCCAACCCGACACATCATGTTTCTAAAAGTGCACAAATGCGGCTCAACTACAGTGAGGAAAATTTTAGAACAGGCTACTCTTAAATATAAGTTAAAACGTCTTTCTCCGAAGCATAACAACATATTTTACCCAAAATCTAAGTTCAATTCGACCCGCAAGAAAATAACCGTTAACGACGCCAACTATAACCCGAATGTAACCTATGATATAATTTTCAATCACATGATTTTTGACTCAAGAGTAATAGAAACCATGATGCCGAATGATACGTTTTATATTGGTATAGTTCGCGAACCATTTTCTCAGTTTCAAAGCGGGTTCAATTTTTTTCATATTTCAAGTAAATTCAATTTAACAAACACCACGAACCCGGTCGTGGAATTTATGGAAAATCCATACAAGTATTGGACCGACGCCTATGTCACAACCCGTGTAGGCTTCTTGAGAAACGCCATGATATATGCGTTTGGGTTCCCAGACGATAGAAATGATCTTAGGAACAACGACAGATTCATTGCCGAGTACATTGATTTCTTGGACAAGAAGTTCGATTTTGTAATCGTCTTGGAAATGTTGGATGAAAGTTTGGTGCTACTACGCCGCTTGCTGTGCTGGGGTATGGACGACGTCTTATATGTTGTTTCTAACAAACAGGAATATGAATATAAAAATGTGAAAGACGAAATTACTGTAAAGAAACATAGGCAATGGAGCAAAGCTGACTATCAGTTATATAATCACTTCCTGACAAAGTTACAAAACACTCTTATGTTGCAAGGGTCGGATTTCAATCGTGAGGTGTTGCTTTTCCGTAAAGCAATCTCGGCACTCGGCAAATGTAAGCGTTCACGTTTAGAAGTTTGCAAAAATAATTTCAAAAATCTATTAGCAGGCATATATCCACATTGCTAAGTCTTCAGCAATTCCAGAGCAACTGAGTGATGGTGGAAATCATAGTTTTAAATAATGGAAAAGAGGTGACAACCTTAGTTTAAAAGACAGGAGTACAACTAGCCTAGCAGATGAATAATTAAAGCTGTGCAAATTAATTTCATGAATTATTTTATCACTCACGGTATGTGGACTTGCAGTGATGGGCGCTGGCCAAAGCTGTGAAATTCACCGTTCAGTGCCTTTTTTCTCATTATTTTAATTATTTAAGGCTTGTCATTAGTGCTTGCCATCTGGCGATGTAAGTATCAAATGGAATACGACTGGTATAGTTGAATATATGAAATGCATTGTATTTCTTCAACATTAAAACAGGGACTTTCCACACAATCTCTCTCTCTCTCTCTCTCTCTCTCTCTCTCTCTCTCTCTCTCAGACATTACAGTATTTCTTTCATCCATGGTATTGCTTGTACTTGCAAAAGGTATGATGAAATACGACTGAATACGAAATTAATACCAATGAACAGAATATAAGAAATATTTCTTCAACATCAGAAGAGGGCCTTCTCTCTCTCTCATTCGAAAATAACAATATTTCCCTCATTCATTAATATGCTTGTATTTGCAAAAAATACGACCACAAGTGAACAATTGTTTAAAAAAGGAGATATTTGATTCAATGTGGCAGACGATTACTCTTGCAGATTGTGATGAATTTCCTTTTCATTTCCCTCATTCAATAGATAACTGTGCACAATAAGCCTTATTCTAAATTTAATCTATTTTCCGAGGCTGTCGATTCAAAAACATGGTTTTTATTATACTTGTGCATCCCCTCAGCAAAATGTAAAGTTTGCAGCAATATTTGCTGCAAATTCGCTGCGAATTTGTCGTAACCAACTATTCATAAATTAATCTATCCACACACAATTCCACCTGAGCAGCAAACAGACCATGAAAAATTTGACTGGCAGTCCAAACAATGAAGTATGCTTAAGGCTGGGTTTTCACACCTAGATGGATATAACAGGATCGATCCATCTCCGATGAGTTTTTCGCTTAATTGCTTTTAGCTTAAGCGGTTTAGATGCATGGCACTACTGAAGCTGCTAAACGATAATTACCCCCTAGCAGCCTCATCAGGGGTGCAAACAGATCAATTACAATTACAGGTCTGGGTATGTCATCTACAACCATAGGAGGTTGAAATGAGGAACAAAAGAAATTAGCTGAACAAGTATTCAAGACATTATTTGTCCTGAAAAATTCATGTGAGTAAATTTGGAAAAATTGCTGGCTTAAAGTTTTTCATACAAGGATAGTTCCTATTTTAACTATGGGGCAGAAGCATCGGCCTTCCATCCTGGGCAACATGGGAAAATTGTACAGACTAAATTCCGCAAATTTTGATTGCAATTGCGAAAAATGTGTCTGACGTAGCGGCAAGGGATAAACTTGTAAGAAACACTGTAAGGGTTGTGCACTTGGTGAAATTTATTAAGTACTGGACCGAGCTTAAGAAAACACCTGAAAATAGGTTTATTAAAGCGTGTTACGTGGGGCAGCATAATATGGTAGAAAACAATTAAGATTGCTCGGCAATACAAGTAAAGTACATGGAAATGGGGGTGGGACAAACTTTTTGACCAATGTTGTATAACTTATATAAGCATGACCTCATTATTGAGTCATACGTTGCAGTATTTGATAAAGCTAGTTGTATATCAGTTTTAGCACGATTTAGATGTTCAAATCATCAACTTGAAATAGAAAAAGGTAGACACAGTTAAGGGTAAGTTTCGGGATAAGAAAATGTGTCAGTAATGTAATTGGGAGGTACTCGAGTGCGAAAGGCACTTCTTGTTAGAATGTCCTCTATATAGCGACCTAAGAGATAATTTCTTCTCGGATATTTGTAATTGGGAATTGGGTTCACAGGAAATATTAATCATATTGGTGAAATAAAAATAAATATTACAGTTTTAAGAAAAATTGCGAATTATTTGAAAAAAGCAGAAATAAGAAGAGAGTCGTTATTAGAAAGATGATTATTAAAAAGATAGGGCTTACTGGTGATGCCCATAAGTCACCACGAAGTGGCCAAAGAAGACTAGTGGCAGAGACGACATGTTTGGTTTTATGCTGTCAATACTCAGGGAATTTGAACCGTGCAGCGACTTAGCGCCTCATTTCTGCTGTTCTTTTTTGAGATATGGTCACAGTAGAATGCTACTACTGGAGAGTATACCCCTCGTCCGCAGCTTAAATCGGAGCAGATTTGAGGCATAGTTGCAGTGATTGCAGTATATATCTACTGCTTTTTCGTATGGGGAGCGCTGTCAATTTATCATGCGAAATAAAGAAAAAAAAAAAACGCATTGAGATTGATGCATAATTGAATACCCATGTTGAAAAAGTGGCACAGCACAGCACGGCATTCGTAAAGACTACATGAAGCAGCTATCATAAAACGAGAGCACTAACATAAAACAAAAACAGAATTTTAACAGGTTTATAAAGGCTGGATCAGAAGGTGAAGGCTGCTGATTGTGTGTTGTAATGTACTTGTACTGCATCAGTTGATCTTGGCCATGTCAGTGCGGATATTTTTACTCGCTGTGGTAATGTTTTATTTCCTATGCTCTGCTGTATATTTGTTTCCACGTCTTATGGGAATTCATACATTGCCTCCTAATCGATTGTCACCACCTCCATTTCAAAGTGACTTTGAAGGTAAGGCGATTCAATTTTGTCGGCTCGTGCATAATTTATTTTTAAATTAAAGTGCCAGTCTTATTTTGACTGTTATCATATCAAACGTGATTGAATCTAATCACGTTTGATATTCCATTGATAACACTAGTGAATGTCAAAGTGAATGTCAAAGCTGTCTGAAGACAAATATATTTTGTAGCGTTCGAAAATCGTTAATTTCGTTTCCTTTTTGTGTTAAAACTCCACGTGATCTTACTTATGTAGCAGTGCAGTTTATCAATGTGTCGTGCGCTGTATTATTTAGTCGCTGACTGCATCATATGTCACAAGCGTAAAAAAACATTGATGTTTTGTCTTTAATGATGACAAAAATATCATTCAAAGAGCAAAAATTCTGTAGTTTGATTGATTAAATGGATTCTGGTATTCATGTTGTGTACCTTTGGAGTATACATAGTTACCTGTCAGTTTCAAGCGAAAGACATGGGCCGTGTGATATTTATAGGCTACCTCGTTTTTTGCACCAATCCGATGGCGTAATTTACGCCTGTTGAATGTCAAATCGAGACTCCATTCTGGATGAGAATATGTCGTTTGCAGCCAGCTTGAAATGTGAATTAATATTACATTAACAGAGAAGAATGTTTCTGTGTACTGAATAAAAAAATAGTCACACTTTGTTTTTTTAAGCAATACGGGTCCGAACTTCAGTTAGTTACCCTTTGGGTATATGGCAACACAAACCGTTTAATCCCGAACAGAAATATAAACAACCCAAAAACGAATGAAGGAGCAGAAAATGAAGATACGAAGCAAAAAATATCTCAGATGATTTGCTAGAGAATATAGAGTTTAGAGTTTATTTCACTGTAACATATGCATCCACTTGTGTGGATGAAAATGACAATATGAATACAATTTTTGTGAATATGCTATTAAAAAAGTTTCTATAACTACTATTACTCAATTGCCGATGAGTGCAGCACTATCTTGTAGATCCCTCCTAGCAAAAGTGTTTTGTAAATACCTTATATAAAATTGTTCGCAGGTCGTTGTATAGGGGGCATGTTGTGAGAAAGTGTTTTTCATCTTCAATTTTGTCTTTAGAACAGTAATGGCGTATTCTGTCAGTCCGAGGAGTGTTATTGTATCTGGAGTTTATGCCCACTGGTGCGAAAACGGCTTAGGTTTTTTCTTTTATCAGTATCATGAAGGTCTAGATATTTTTCTTTTTTAAATGTGTTTTTGAATTGGCAATATACTCTGGATTTGGGTTTGTCCTTAAGCTCACTGTGCCAGTTTTGTATGTACCCACTGATGATGCCTTCACTGAATATACTTAGAAAATTTATGTCAGGATTCTGTTTTAGCCGTACATCTCCAAATCCGTTTTCAAACAAGAGTTTCATAATACCTTCACTCAATAACGGGTTATCATCATTCAGATTTGACAGGCTTTTTGTTGAGTGTAAATTGTAATAATGTAATTCCTCTAGGTATGCTTGTTTGAGTAGGTTGTTTTGGTCCGTGCGTAATATTTTGAGCCAAAATTTTATTAATTGTATGTTGATTTTTATGTTTTCAATATAAGATCACCTGTACCTAGCTTGTGTCCTTTTCAAACTGTAGCGGCGGATTTAGAGCGGGTTTCAGGGGGGACCTGACACCCTCTCTCCCTTATATATCTGGTCCCTCTTGAAATTTGAAGTTTAACTAGCTGAATAATAGTTCTAAACCGTACCAAACGGCACCGTTCGCCCTCTAAAATGCCAAAAAAATTCAGGACCCTTCAGTGGGTCTCGAACCCCACTCCAATGGGG